ATTCGATTCGTCGATCGACAGAAAATTATTTTAATATTCGATTTTTTGTTTATAGAATTTTTCAAGCAAAACCTGTCAAATGTTCGATAGTTTCAGGTTCTCACATGACAGTTTGCTGCTTTTCCTTTTTGTTCGAGAGTATATAGAGTATCTATGGGGTTTAGACTGGTGGTCTGACAAAACAGGTCATTTGAAGACGTCACCTGCAGGCTGCAATTGCAATGGGCATTTTTCACTGTATTTTGATGTTTTATAGACCAAACAATTAAGAGAGAAAATAATCTGCAGATGAATAGATAATGAAAATAATGGTTAGTTGGGACTTTTGTATTTTTGTATAACTTATCTATTTTCTTCTTTTCCTTGCAAGAACGTGCTTCCATAAATGTCAGATTATTATACTATATAGATGTATTAAATGAACAAATTCTCCTGTTTCAGTGTGATCTCTGGTCAGCTCGGTCAGACTCGCAGGTCAAAGTTCACTCTTAATTGTGTTTCTATGGTTGTCTGTTTCTATGTGGTGATATTATATATGAATGTGTGTTTAGGTGAACTTGGTTGGGAGTTGTACATGGACCAGAAGAACATGGCAGCTGTGTACCAGGCCATGATGGAAGCAGGAAAAGACGAAGGCATCGACAATTTCGGGACCTACGCCATGTCCTCCCTCAGACTGGAAAAGGGCTTCAGAGGCTGGGGAGCTGAGGTACACACATAGACAAAGACACATACACAAGGGATTTAAAGGAATAATTTGTCAATTTGAGAAATATGCTTATTTACTTTATTGCTGAGAGATAGATAACTTTTTTTGTTAAACAAACGAGATGCAGCATGTTCATTAGTGAGCTTTAGAGGTGCTGATTGGCAGATTTTGGTACCTTTGCACAGAGTCAGGCTAGTTGTTTTCTCCTGTTTCCAGTCTTTATGCTAAGCTAAGCTAAGCTAACCGGCTGTAGCTTCATATTTGCTGTGCAGACATGAGAGTGGTACCGATCTTCTGATCTAAACTCTGGCCAAGAAAGAAAATAATGTTGAACTCTTCATTTAAGTAGCAAAGGTTTATGCCCTTTTTGCTGATTAACCTCTCGCTCTTTACAGATGAACTGTGACACCAACCCTCTGGAGGCTGGATTGGATTATTTCATCAAACTGAACAAGGTAACCATCTGTTTCATTTTTAGTTGTGCATTTCTTTTATCCTACATTAAGTGGCTTGTAGTTTCCATGATAGACTTTACTTGGGTGGACTGCCCAGGTATATTTGGCGGCACATTTTAGCATTTTGCCAAGAAGCACAGAGCTTGATGTTATCTATTATGTAAAGACACTGTTACAGTAGTCGAGTCGACTGAAGATAAATGCATGGATAAGTTTTTCCAGGTCTTGCTGAGACATAAGTCCTTTAATCCTTGATATATTCTTCAGGTGATAGTAGGCTGACTTTGTAATTGTCTTAATGTGGCTCCTGAAATTCAGGTCTGAGTCCATGACTAAACCAAGATTTCTGGCTTGATTTGTGGTTCTTAACATTACAGATTGAAGTCGAGCACTGACTTTCAATCGTTCCTCCCTGGCCCCAAAAACAATAACTTCAGTTTTATCTTTGTTTAATTGAAGAAAATTCTGGCACATCCAATCGTTGTTCTGTTCAATACAGTTACTCAGCTCCATGGTGAAATGGTTATGTAAAGCTGTGTGTCATCTGCATAATTATGGTAACATATTTTGTTGGGGTTTTTTTGTTGTGACATCTTTTTGCATTGGAGGGAGTCATTAAATAAAATGGCATCGCCACCTCCTCTCTTATGAACTCTAGCTTCACTCATAAAACTGAAGTTGGGAGGGGTAGACTTGATAAGGACAGCTGCACTGTTATCTTGGTTGTTATGTTGACATTTTGTGGGGTTCTTAAGAATTCAACTGGGGGTGTCTTACCCCATATTATTGTAATAATTCTTTTCAAAAGCAGGTGAAATCATCTCCAAAAAAAGAAACCGCCTGAAGCCCAGCACTGTGGAAAAGTTATTTCCAAATAGAAATTAATAAAATGTTGTCTCTATTATCTAAAGTCACAAACCAAGTCAACAAATCTCACTTGTTTCCACTTTCCCTTTTGACCCTGCCATTGTATCCTAAAGACACCATATTAATAAGTTTATCATTTATATATTGGCATCACAAATATCATTCATTCATTTATTCAATTCAAAGCTTCACACACGGATGCCATGCTGCCATTATAATCACTCTGCCTGTTTTACATTTATTGTCCACTTGATGGCACACTAGAGCAAATGAAGCACCATGAAGCTTCGGCCCACAAGTGAACCAATTGGATGGAAAGCTTCAATGCTTCATGAAGCTTCATCTCGCCATCACTATCATTCAGTACTACGTTGGTTTAGTTTTGATAAGCTACGTCATTAACAAGCCTCCTCCATATGTGTCGCATCTGCTGCTATAAAAACAAATCGTGGATAGAAAAATCCAAAAGAGGAGTTCTGTGTCTTTATAAAACATACTGTTGATGGAGAAAGTCAGCAGAGCAGACGAATTCATGGAGAGAGAGGAAGAGGCAGAGCAAGCTGCTGTGTTTGCAGCAGAGCTGTAGGTGTGTGTGAGTGTGGGGACAAGAGAACTGAAGGGAAAGGAAGCAAATTCAGTTAGTGAGTAAACACTAAAATAAAGGTGGCGAATGAAGTAGAATTAAAATGGTGAAATAAGAAATAACCAAGGCTACTTGAAATAGTAATATACCCCACTAACCCCAACACCGACTGAACTCTGCTGCCCAGGTAGACTTTCATTCTGTTGGAAACACTGTCTATGTTGTAAATTAATATGTTCTGAATAAACACTGTTTGTTTCTGTGTTTGTTCAGCCTGCTGACTTTATTGGCAAAGCAGCCCTTCAGGAGATTAAAGCCAAGGGCCTGAAGAGGAAGCTTTCCTACATCACCCTCGATACGGATAATATCGACGCCGAAGGCAATGAGACCGTCTGGCACAACGGCAAGGTAAGGCACTGCTGACAGCCTTACTGATGCTGTCCAGTGATCAAACAGTTTTATTTGGTTATTTTATGGTCATTCTCTCTCATCAGGTGGTCGGCAACACGACATCCGGAGCCTACAGCTACAGCACCGAGCAGAGCCTGGCGTTTGCCTACCTGCCTCTGGACCTGTGCTCTGTGGGCCAGAAGGTGGAAGTAGAGCTGTTGGGGAGGAAATACCCCGCCATGGTAATCCAGGAGCCCTTAGTCCTCACTGAACCTACACGGACTCGGCTGCAGAAGAAAGCAAAGGGCAAAGCATAAGCACAAACTGTCCTCGAATCAGTTTCTCACCTGCTAATGAAGAACAACTGTACTGTGATATGTGAATGAGACCCTTTTATATAGACAAAAAAAACATGTGTGGTCCTTGTACTGTACTGTTTGTGTCTGAAATTAAGTGGGCAGTTTAGGAAAAAAGAGGTTCTTATTGTGTTGTCTCTTGATGAAGGGGCAGCTGAAAAAAGTTTAATCATGATGTACTGCATCTTATGGGGAAATAATAACTGCTGATGTTCTAGCTCACAATGTCTTACAGTGTTGAAAGAGTAATTGACTTTAATTGCCAAGAATGGATGATAATATTTTACAGATGAACAGTTAAACCTTTTTTGGTGAAGAATGTTTAATTCAATGGAAAATGCCCTTTTGCGTTTATTTGAAATTCAAAATATTATGCCACTGCATTTTTAGTCTTAACACCAATAACCAAAAGAAACAATGCTCGCAAACTTGTACAAAGATTGTTTTATAAATCTGTTCCTTTCTTCATTTTTCCTTTGTCTGACTTATTTTAGCCTCAAGGACCAAAAATAAAACCACTGTCTGGAAATCATCACATGAGAATGAATAAAATCAAACTTGGCCACGACGTATGGAGCCCCTGAATGTTCAATGAATAAATATAAAATAAATTATCACATGAACAAATTGTGTAGAAGTAATAAATGACACTAACTTAGGGAAAATTATTCTTATTCTAGAGTTTTGACTTTTTATTTCATAATAGAATTTTTTATATCAAAATGCCATTTTACCTATTTGAATAACATTACTCAGCAAGAACCACTTGTACAAACTAACGTCCACACAGCAGCGACCCGTGCAGTCACACATTACGGAGGTCACATAACATGGTAAAACTAAAACACCTACACCCATACTATACAGTATACATACACTATAGAGTATATAGTATACTGAATGTAATTTACATACACTATACAATAATAATACAATACTATTAAATACATTTCATAGAAATAGTATATAATGTAGTAATATAATAATAGTAATATAATGCAATGTAAAATAGTGGTCATCTTCATATTGTTCTCTTGATCAATCACTTTCCAGAGACCAAGGTGACATATTTGAATTCATTATTTTCAGCCCAAACCCCAAAGATAATCAATTTAAAGTGACGTAAAACAGATAAAAGCAGGAAATCAACTCATTTAAAAAGCTCTTAGGGTTTTCTGTATGTAGGTTAGAAATGATACAGTATTGTATGTGCTTTATTTAACTGTAGTATTTATCCAGACAATATGTTAGTACTTTGAATATGTCTACTATTTGCTTAGTGTCTGGGCCACTATATGCAATCTTGAGATTTTCACTTATCTGCATTATTTCCTAAGATTTTACTTTTAGTGTTTTGTGAATAAACTAACTGAACATCTAAGAATAGCCTATAATAAATAATAAATGTCGATATGTACAGTATTAAAAAGTATTAACAGAAATACTCAATCAAATTAGTAATTGCCGATAAATGTCCTGTCAATCGACTGATTAAATAATTGACTCGTTTCATCTGTAATCCAAATTTTTGAAGTTACCAGCAGGTTTATTTATTATATTTATCATAAACATAGTTACCTTACTGGGCTTCCATACATTCACGTGATTGGCTGTCTGCACAGTCATCTGATTGGCTGCTGCAGCCGAGGCAGCGTTTTCAATCTACGGAATAAGGAAGTGACAGAGAGACGCGGATGTAATTTTATAATTAAATAATGCATTTATGATGTTTTCAGGATGAAAACATGTAGTTAGGACAACCAGTTAGCTAACGTTAAGCTTTACATCAGTCATGTTTGTCCTAACGTTACTTCTACCGCTAAACGCAACCGGACGGACTTCCTTGTTTACTTTCTGACATACCTGAAAAGAAACCAACGATGAATAACAGACAGTCGGTTTATTCATTTATTACAGCGACGATACTTATAAGCGTCCCTGTGGTTTCAGGGGCCCAGCAGCCTCACATCGTGTTCGTCCTGGGGGATGACTTTGGCTGGTATGATGTCGGCTACCACAGGTCAGAGATCAGCACCCCGCACCTGGACAAGCTGTCTGCCGGAGGAGTCCGCCTGGAGAACTACTATGTTCAGCCTCTGTGTACCCCCTCCAGGAACCAGCTCATGACCGGGAGGTACCAGGTGAGATCCACGTCCTGCTGCATGTAATGTACTAACGTTACATTAAGTAACTTGTACATAAATAGTATCTTGAGACACTTTACTTTTGTATTAACTTTTTCTTCTACTCCAGTTCAGAGGCAAATATTGCACTTTTTAATCCACTACATTTATTTGATAACTTTAGAAACGTAGCAGATTAAGATTAAGAAATAAATCATGCATCATTTATTTTACTGATCTATTGGTGAAATTTACAAGCTACCCGGCAGTGTATAAAATAAAAAATAAGCTCCAACTTTACCTGCTGTAACTTTAAAATAATGTACATTGTAGTGTAACTTAAGGACTGAAGGTAGTATGGATAAGAAAATTGTACAGTTAATTATGTCATTAATAACTCAAGGGTGCAGTTTTGAATGTAACCCATGCTGTAAAATAAATTAAAGGTACTAAGAAGGCATGACCTCATTGAGCAGATCTTATTTAATTCTCTTCTAAACACTTTTCAACCAAAGTTGAGGTAAAAAATAAACCCCTTCTAACACACTTCAGTTCATTCATATAATTTCATAAAAATAAAGAAAAGATTTCATCAAAACAAAGAGCTTAAATGTCCCATTGCTTATTCTGATGTATTCCTCAGTTATAGTCTCTCAAACAATTGTCAGTTGACCAAATGACCCAAATGTGTTGAACAGGATATTTTTTGTCTTCAAATGTGAATTTAGCATTTTTCATCGACTCTTCAGTCAATATAAAGAGACATTACAGATTATAGTTGTTGCCTTTTTCCTACACATGCAACCACTGTCTTGCTAAATTTGTTAATCATTCATAGCAATAAACATAAAATATATAAATATTAAAATGTTAAATTGACAAGATCTAAAAAGAATATGTGCAGTTTGTGCAGAGATACGAAAAATATTTACATCAGATTTTTACACGTGCAAAACATTCAAATAATGTTGTAAGAAAAGGAGCTGTGTTGTCGTGATTTTCATTTACTCTGAATGTGAAGTTAATCATTACAAACATCATTCTTAAGGAGCCGCCACACCACCATGGTGACAAGTAAACTCCAGGGCACGACTTTGGGTTTGTACACTTCTGCGTGTTTAGAAGAACTTTCCAAGGGGAAAAAAATCTAATTTGAACACTGGTGGAAAGTAGACGATGACAAAGTTGCCTCATTTCAGGACGTTTATTTTGAACCGTTTGTTTGCATCACTGTCAGCACAGACAGCGGTTCCGCCTTTTGCTACTCTTTCATCTTTCTGTATTTGTGCTATTTTGAACACAATACCTATTTATTTCATTTTAACCTTGTCCTCATCAGATCCACACAGGCATGCAGCACCAGATCATCTGGCCCTGTCAGCCGTACTGTGTGCCTCTGGAGGAGAAACTGCTGCCCCAGCTGATGAAGGAGGCGGGCTACGCCACACACATGGTGGGCAAGTGGCACCTGGGCATGTACAAGAAGGACTGCCTGCCCACACGCCGGGGCTTTGACTCTTACTTTGGTATATTTCATTAAGAATAAAGCCTTAAATGTAACTCTGCTACTCTCCTGGATGCAGTTTTATTCCTAGCGTTACATTTCTGTTTTGATTAATTCCTTCCTTCTGCCCACTGTGTGCTCCAGGCTACCTGACAGGCAGCGAGGATTACTACACTCATGTCCGTTGTAATCCCATCACCGCTCTGAACCTGACTCGCTGTGTGTTGGACCTACGGGAAGGAGAGGAGGTTGCAACCGGATACAAAGGACATTATTCCACTGAGCTGTTCAGCCAGAGGGCCATCAGCGTCATTGAAAAACACGACTCTAACAAGGTGGGACACACACAGAGTCACAATGTAGAGCACTAAACCATTTAAATCATCTAATGAAAAATAAAACCTTACTGTACACGACCTGCTCAGCAGAAGACAGACACAGTTACCAGCTGGTGAACAAAGTGGAGCATTTATCAGCTAGAGAGCCAAATATTTCCCTCTGGAGTTTGTAGAGACCAAAAACAAAGATAAAAGAGAGTGAATATTGCACTTAGATTTCATTATGGTGGACACAAACTCCGAATGAATGATAATGATGCTCCGTAACTGAATGTGTAAATAAGTTCATTATATCTTAAAAGGTGGTAGGATGTCAATCTTTTGTTCACAATTAGTTTTTGATATATAAGTGGCCAAAGTCAAATCGATTCATTTATACAGACCCATATATCTAATAACATATTTACCTCAGGGGGGTTTTAGAAGAAGAAATTGCATTACTCATCCAAATAAAAATAGTTGAATTCCTTGATAAAACTAGGTGCTTCTGGTGGAAAATTTTGGTTAAAGTTAGGTGTTCAATTAACCAAGGAGAGCACTTGCAGAAAGAAATACAACAGAAAGAGGCTATACAGGTGCTGACAAACAACCGATACACTCTTTTGAAACAGAAGAGGGTCTTGTCCCAAGACAGTTATGTAGCTCTAGACTCAAAAATACAATAAAGAATGAAAAGAGGTCAGAACCCATAAGTTTACAAAATACAAAGGAAGAAAACAAACTAGCATTTTTTCTGCAAATGTAGAGGAAACTAAAGAGTGTCCAACTCTTAGTACACTATATCAAACTGGGCAATTTACAAAGGTTCCAAAAGCACTGACTGAAGCCACTCAGACAGGCAACAGACTAATACTAAACAATACTAAGAAATATAAACATGCAAAATACTCTCTAAACTAGTAACAATAATTTAATATATCACAGAAAATAAACACATTTACTTAATTATTCAAGAACATTTTACTGATAGTATTTGTGTATCTTTCACAGGATTTTGAAAAGAGGACTCTGTCTTGAAAAGGAGTATTTTTGATTGTTGTATTTGCTATCAACATCACTGCTGTTTTCAACCACAAGTCACAGACTTGAGTCTTCACATGTTGTTCTCTTTATCTTTCAGCCACTCTTCCTCTATGTGGCGTTGCAAGCAGTCCATTCACCCCTGCAGGTTCCAGAGCGCTACATGGCCCCCTACAGTTTCATCAAAGACCCCCATCGCCGGCTGTATGCTGGCATGGTGTCGGCCATGGACGAGGCCGTGGGCAACATCACTCTGGCTTTGCAGCGCGGGGGACTCTGGGACAACACGATCCTAGTGTTCTCAACAGGTATGTGTTCGTTCTGAGACGCTGGATTAACAAGAGACAAACCTCATTATTATTTCACAAACTAACTGTTACAGCTTCCTAATTTAAAAGCCCCTGCTGAAATCAGATTGTTGTGTAGTGCGAGATGTTTTGTGTACAAAACCAATAGGACATTCTGACCACAGGGTGGCACTAGAGGAAAGGTCATGATTACTAATTAATAATTTTTTCACATCAAAGTTCATTGTAATCAAACTATTGCTGTTCAGAATGTCTGTATACCAAAACTATAAACTCAGTATTTAATTAAAGTGATTTGAAATCTTCCTCAGGGAAAACATGAATCACAAAACTTTTTTTGAAACAGATTGGTCAGGTGTGTACTCCAGAATAACTGTTAATAAACTAAACCCCTTTTTATTTATTTTGTTTTTTTATAATGTTATTTTAATTTTTCCAAATATCTATCTCAACCCACATCATATACACTGCATAAACCACACACAATCTGTCAAACTGTCAGGGGTGCGCAAAGCAGGAGGGAGCCCAAATGCACGACACTGAGAGCTGAGATACAGTTCCAGGGTTTTTAATCCAGGCAAGACAAAACTCACAGTGGACATTGGCAATAGCTGAAAACATTAGGTGAATAAAATGTGGTGTACTGGAGAAGAGTTGTGCAGCGTGTTTCTGCACCTTGTGTGTGTGTGTGTGTGTGTGTGTGTGTGTTGCTCTCAAAGTCAAAAACATTTCACGCCAATCATCATCAGCAGTTGTCGAGATATTTCAGTCTGACCGAAGTAGTGGAACAATAGACATTTACATCCATAGAGCCAAGTCACTACATGGAAGGTTTTTAACCAAACACTGTGCACTAATTATTAGGAATAAACATGTTGTGTTTAACTGAGCTTAGAGTGAAAGTTACATGTCAGTAGGTTAACATTCAATACTAGCATTCTACACACTAATGATTCAGTAATGTTGAGACACTAACTAAAAATATACCATCTTCTGTAGAATCCTGTGGCAAGTTTTGAAGCACTGGATCATGTTACTACAGCAAAGCTAACTTCTACCATTAAATTACACACACAGATATGATAATCAGGTGACTGCCTCTGGGAACGCTAATGTATTTTCCACAGCTTTTTTTTTTTTTTTAACCATGTGACTCTTTTAAAGTGTGCCAGAATGGAAACCAAATCAGTGAGTGCTAAGTAAGGAGCAATTACATTTTACGTCCGCAGACCACATTTTCTTTGCGCATCAAAGCCAGTTTTCCAGGGTTGAGAGGAGTTCAGGTGACGGGTTTATTGAATTAAAGCATCAGAGGGTCAGATGACGCATTTTATTACACAACAAGGTCAAAAGGGAGGCACATGAAACAGATACCTGTGTTTGCAACATCTCTTAGCTAGGATTTTCAGTCATGCTTCCATTCTTCAGCCTTGACTACTGCAGTGTCCTCCTAGTGGGTCTTTCAGCTTATGGAAAGGAAGGGGTGACTGATTGTGTTGGAATAATAAGAATCTTTTTTTCCTCCTGAAATCTCTATTGCAAAAAGAGAAATAAAGTATATATGGGACATAAAGAAGTATACAGAACTTTGATTCGTGTTTTGCACGTTTTGCTAGCATGTAACATGTAATATGGTTGTAACAGTTGGTTTGCTGTCCATGTAGAGTGACCTAAATGTCTGCGTGTTGTTTATAAGACATCTTTGTAGTAGCATCCATGTTGATTCCAAATTTCGACTTAACAACACATTGAAATCGGAAGAACGACTTTAAAACTCAGGAAATGGGACCATCCGAGGAGCACGTGAATGCACCGTGAGCCACTGCTTGGAATTCACAACCCTCACCCCTAGATGTCACTAAAGAGTACACACTTAACCTTTAGCTCTTACTTCTTTCCCTAGGTAGTTACCACATTGATGCTGTACCTGCTAATAGCTCTTACTAGTATTTATTGTCACTCGCAGATCTCTTACTGTATTGATGCTGTATTGGTGATTGTATCTTGTTCCTCAAATGTAAGTCGCTTTGGATAAAATGCCAAATGAGTAAATGTAAATGTAAATTTTCCACCAAATCAGGGCTGCTGACACTGAAAATAGCTTTTTTTATTCTCTGCATGTCCACTAGAGAGCAGTGCTTAGTTGTATTTGTTCTAACAGTTTGTTTTTTTTGTCAGGATCACTATCAAGCAGGATGCGCAGATTTACAGACAGATATCAGGAAAATCTAATGGAAAACTTTAGTTGGCCCATCTCTTCATACAACCCCTGGAGTCTGTCAAACCTTAAGAAATATCCATCATATAGACTTTTTGATGAGGGCATGCAGCATCATCTAAACATGTGCCTGCTGTAGGGTTTCCACATGTGGACTTTCTAATGAATTACATCTGAAGTAGGTAACTGCTTTGAGGGTTATTTTTAGTTTGTTTTTTTAAAGGGTAATTAGAAGACAGGAACAATGCTATGAAAGTAAAGTGTGAGGTTTTTTATGCCTGTGGTGGGTTGCGGTAGGTGGCCTGTTTTCATTGTTCTTCCACACATTTGGTTCTGGCTCTTGACTCGAAGGGTTCAGCCAGCCATATGCCGAGCAGACACTGACTCTGCTGATATGAAGCTGAGGAGGGAAAAACTCCAAACTGGTGTTATGTAATATGTGACTTTGGCTCCCTGTGATGCGACAAGGATATAGTTTATAAACGCATGAACATCACTTACCGGAAAATAAGTTCTATGAGTGGCTTTATTAGTAACACCTCTGGCTTACAATTTAAAGCTTTCTCGTGTACAAGCTGTTATCATTGACCCATATGTGTCAGGCTTAACAGGAAAGAAATGAGCCCTAACCTTGAAATTCCTTTATGATGAAATTTTCATCCTCACCGGGACTTTTACTGTAAGCAAATGAGCGGGAGGGCTTTAGTGGAGCTGGGAAAGAGAGGAATTGGCCTGTAGAGAGCCAGAGCAGCTTGAAAAGGCATTAAGGAGCAGACGGTCTTTTCCAGAACCGTTCGGGAATAGGCACAGACTACTTCCTGGACTTGCTGCTGAAAGGGGAGCCCTGCCTGGATGTGATTGGTCAGGTGTGTTTATACTGGACAGACTTATTGGGATGATGACAGTCAATGTTACCCGCCTGTGTGTGCACTTGTGTAATGGTTGGATATTATGCAGGAGTATTTGGCTAACAGGGAAGACAAATGGATGAGTAGTGTTATATATTTTTTTTAAAGATGACTTGTTTTTAGGCGTGGTATGGCTCTGTGTTGCAGCGTTGGATGGTCCGCCACTTTGGACCAAACTGATCAGATCTATTGGATGTATTGCCATGAAATTTGATCCCCACATTGATGTTCCCCTCAGGATGGCTTGTAATAACATTCGTGAGCCTCTGACTTTTCTTCTAGCGCACCAGGTTTATAATGTTGACTTGTCCAACACTTTGGTTTATGACCAAATACCTGCAAAACTAATGACATTCCCATCAGCCTCAGTTGTGCTGTGTGTTGGTGCAAATTAGCAAATGTTAGCATCTTAATATACTAAACTAAGACTGTGATTGTGAACACAGTAAATGTAGTAGCTGCTAAACATCCGCATGTCAGCACTCAGAACGTTACTTTTTGGTTGCATAGCGTTCTCTTCACTAACCTTAGTGGAAACAATATTTTTTACTTGTTAGCCAGCAGACAAAACATTTTCATGATCTCACAGATGTCTACCTTCCTCCTGGAAAGGCCCGGGCAAAACCAAGGTTTAAAAACAATATTACCACATATTGCGGCTCTCTCCTATCTCCTTCTTCAGTGGCGGTACATAAAGTCTGCATTATGTGGACATATTGCATTTAAATGTTGGTTTAATCAGCTCTTAGTCTTGTTAAGCATTTGGTCAATCTTTCTGCTTTTATCTTTACATTTACTGATTTTAAATCCCTTATCGATCTTTTTCTTTTTTCTCCTTGTGTCATTACATTTTGTCCCTCTGGTTGTTGGACAGATAACGGAGGTCAGACGCTGTGCGGTGGCAGCAACTGGCCACTGCGAGGGAGGAAGTGGTCACTGTGGGAAGGAGGGATCCGGGGAGTTGGATTTGTCGCCAGCCCACTACTGAAGCAACCCGGCACCATCAGCCACGAACTAATCCACATCTCTGATTGGCTGCCAACGCTTGTTGGCCTGGCAGGAGGGAGCACTAACGGTACAAAGCCACTGGACGGTTTCAACATGTGGGACACAATCAGGTGAGCGAGGCTGTTGTAATGATTTCACAGATCTGGGACTTTAATTCCCAGCTGAGAGTGTTTGTTGGGTGCCAGGTCAGCCTGTTTAGCCTGAGTTTACAGCATGAGCAAAACCAGCTCCTGAGTTTGACGGCCTGCCCTTTCTTTGTGCCTCTTTCCGATCCTTCCCCCATGCGCTCTCACTCCAACTCCCTCTGCCTGTCTCCCCTGACCCAGCATCTTTTTCGTGTAGGAGCCCCTGCTCCTTCAATAAGTCCTTTGTTACTGTGGCAATGGGAGCTCAAAGAGAAGGAAATTACATCAGTCATTCTCACACTAATCTGTAGTCCTTCCACCCCCCCCCCCCCCATCCCCCCAATCCCCACCTCTGCCTCTAAGAACAATGAAAGACTGCTGTTGGATAAGCTCATAAGTTTAGCTGTAAATCCTTTTATGTGGCAACATACCTGAGATGTAATTCTGTTACAAATAATATATTTAATTTTGTGTAGTTGAATATTTTTGTGACTGAGAACTTTACAAAGAAACTGTTTAATGTGGTTTAATAGGTCTTATGCAACTGTTGGCAGACCACAGATGCACTTTCCATGATAGTTTGTGTGCAGGTCATCACACAAGCTGTCACTGAGTCCTGTTTGACTGACACATTATATTTGTAAACTAAATGTGGACACAGTGAAGATGGTAAAATTGAGGGCTACTGCAGAGCCCCAGCAGAAAACCAAGGCATAGCCTGGACCGCAAACTACTACTCACAGCATCCACTTGACTCGATTGGCTGACGCACGTCAGCTGACCGCTGGCTTCTGGCGTTGCCGTGTAAGCAACACAACCACGTAGGGCACAAACTGCTGTTTGTTTTCGCTGCTTTATGGTTTCATTTTGGTTTTAATTGGCTCGCCTGTTACAGAAAACAGCAGCCCGACAGCTTGGCCGGTGAAATTAAACCCAAATGAAGGCCCAGAACAGTAGGCAGTCAGTAGAGAGTGAGAGTTATTTTAGTTGTGTTATCAGACACTGTGGTCAGTGAGAGCAGTGTGTTTTCTCTGTGGTGGAGTGCGGTCAGAGCATATGACTGCCTGGTGAACAACGGCCAGCTGGTTTAGATTTACAGATCCCAGTGGATTTTACAGTGCATGAGTCAGACATCGTGGTGCGTGTGTTGGTTGTGTATCCATATGTTTAAGAGTTACACTGCTTTTTATCTTACAGCAAAGGGTTTGCCTCGCCCAGACTGGAGCTGCTGCACAACATTGACCCTCTGTATATCGACATCGCTCCATGTAAGTTCACATGTTTCACTGTATGCAGACGAGGCTTCTCCCTGTCCGATTACATCAGAACACATAAGATCTAATGCCTCCAGTAGGTTTTCATTTGTGGATTTGGACAAAGTCGGGTTCCCACACTGTATATGAGTGTATGCTCCCATTCAGACCTGCTAAAGACAGAACTTTGACATGACTTTTGAAATACAATCTTGTGAAATACAAAGATTGGCTGACACAAGCTGCAGAGATCCGTCACTTCACTGCAAAAAAAATATTCATAGCAGCAAATTCTGCCAACAGGCTGAGATCATTTCACTTCTTTATGTAAATCTGGAAGGTTTAGTTTGCATCTATAGTGTTTTTTTTATTCCAGTGCAGCTACATGATTTGTCCATGGAAACTTATCCCCACTCACTGTGACTTGCTTGAACAAACTTATTTTTAGATTATGGGTTTTATACTATATAATACATAAAGAACAAATATTGTTTCCTGTCTAACCTCCGCACAGCTGGCCAACCACAGCGTGAAGAGGGTGTGAATGTTGGATTGTGAAAGTCACAGAAATGGTCTAACACAGCCCGGCTTAATCCGACATCGGAAACATGTGGTGGGAGGGGATTTCTGAAGCTAGTTGATCATCAGACAAGCAGTTCTGACGCAATATATTTAAAGTGTTAGTTTGGATTTTTTGAAGTGGCGTTGAATGATTATCCATAGTCCGTGTCTTACCTACAGTAGATGGCGGTCGGCACCCCCGAAGTTTAGAGAAGCAGACAGGAGTACTGGCACAGAAGCTCATCAATGCACTGCTGTAGACGAGTGGCAGCAGCAAAACGTATTTTAGTCACCTAAAACAAATCAGTGTACGCTATATTTACAATATTTTCACTGCTTTACGCTTTCTGTTAAACAGCCCTATCCGACAGAGAACTGAAGCCGTATATCTGTTAATGCTCTTTTCAAAGCCGCCAGACTCCTTTGACAAAAACAGTAAATTTAACTTTGCAGAAGACGTGTTTTAAAAACAAAACACTCAAACAGAACAGATATGCGGCTTCTGCTTATGCCGCTGTCCTGCAGAAGTACCTCATACACAACCTCACAAATGTCTGAACTAGTCCTGTAAGTGAAGTCTCAAAGAGCAGCTAGCATGGCTATGGACTCTTTATCATCTGGTGACCTCTCACCAGGTCGGAAACCACCGGTTTGAACTTATCCATTGATCCTTTATCTATAAATCCTGTGCAAGGTCACGCAGGCAGTGGAGTGGAGCCTATCTCAGCTCACACTGGTCAGGTCACCAGTCTGTCACAGGGATGACGAATACAGGCCGACAGTTCACTCCTACAGGCAGTTTAGAGTCACCAGTTAACCCAACATGCATGTCTTTGGACTGTGGGAGGAACAGACACATGGAGAGCATGCAAACTGTTCACCACTTTAAACCATTTTAACCTTTATTCATGTGCCAGTAACAACAATTTGATAAAGCACGTCGAGGTGATGGAGACCTCGTGTTATGTCTCCTCCTCCTCGTCCCGTGTGCGTGATATCATGTGTCTGTTCCTTTGTTTCTAATGTTAATGTAATTCTACAGTTTAGTCTCTCTTCCCAACATGGCCACAAGTATCAAGGGCTCATTGTTTGAGCCGGTATTCATAAATACCAGACATCGCGAATCCAATGAACTCAAGTCGAAGCAGACTGGGGGCCTAAGAATAGAATTGTTACATAACATTTGACTAAACTCACATTAGCGCATTACAAATCCACGTTGAGTTTATTGTTATTGTGTGAAATTTGTTTGAGTTCATGAGGAATTCGGAGCAGGAGCTGAGTCTCTTTGTGTCTGGATTATTTTCAGTACACGTCCTTAATTTTGGTTTGACAAATTTTTTATTAAGATGCTCGTGAGACACTTTAAAAAAAATAAATTATTGTCTGTCTCTTATTAAAATGAAATTCATCACATTTTAGCTATGTTTTTGTAATGACTGTACCTCATAAAATGGTATTTGTTATTCTGTTTTCATCTGAGGAATGCTGAGATAGTTGATGTATGAGGGCAGGGTGTGTGCGCTTACAGTTTAAACTCTCTGATTGTAGGGAGGTTTCCAGGAAGTAGTCTTGGGACTGCCTTTTTATTCCTGCTGTCCGACACAGTGAAGTGGTCTCATTCATTGTCTAAACCATTTAATATTCAGCGGTTTTGTTTCTGGTCTGAGGCCACTATTTCTGACTTTGTGGAGGATTCTGTACCTTGCACGTTCAAAAATAGTGAGGTATAGGAGGAGTACATTTTTGTACTGAAATGTTTCACAGATGTACCATAATGTGCATATAATAGGTTGTCATGCGGATAGATGGGCACCATTTGATCTACCTTTAAAGGTGTAACATTCAACACAACAGTACTTTTCAAATAATAACTGATCAGTACCATATGTAGCACTGTATTCAGTTTTCTAAAGCGCCAAACTATTATTCGGTTTGGCTGGTGTTTATCACCTGAGACACCTGCCTTTTGAAAACTACAGATCACACACTTTCTCCTGAGTATAACAGCCTGTGGCAAGCTGTGCTTTCACATGTAATGTACAATACAGTCTGCAACTAAATTTTGCAGGGTTAGGGTTCATTGTTGAACTCACCTGCCAACCATTACAGAGATCTGGGGTTCAGTTTCCATTTCAACATGTTTCAACATGTCGCTGCAGTAGCGAGTGGTGCTGGTGGTCGAGGGGGTGGGATCTGGGGAAAATAGCGGGAATCCTTGAACATATTACCCCATACTTGTGAGAGTACTTGCTTGCAGGGGAGTCCTTTTGAAAGTCCTCTGAAAATATGTGCCGTTATCCCCATATTTAAACAATATCATGTCTCTCCCCTCACTATGACGGACATCTTTTCTATCTGCTTTCGAGTGTGGCCGGATTATAAACTCTTTTGATTTCCGATGTGGTCAAACAACATGTTGAATGAACATTGTCAGTCCCTCCAGGATTTTAGCAGGGATTTTTTTGTGATTGTGGCGGCCTAAAATGCCTGATTTTTGCGCCAGCTTTTCTTAAAAATTGCGAAGAAAGTTGTGACGTTTTGGGGCATTTTCTACAAAGAAATTTTGGGGATAAGTGAAAATTGCAAAGGTTGAATTACGAAATCCTGGAGGGACTGACTAGCATTGATCGAGCATGACCCGACCCTAAGTGGGAAGAAGGATAACGCAGAATGGGGAATTGGTCATTCCACACTGAGATAAAAGGGGTATTGTTACATGATTTTATATTGGTAGGTTGGGAAACATAATTTAACTAATAGTTAAGTTACAAACGGCACAGTTAGAAAAGTATTTTTGTTTTAAGAAACAGTATTGTGTGGAACCTTCGTAGGCTCCTAACATAGCGACAAGCTTGTCCTACAACAGAAGGGTCAATTCTGCTCAACCTTAATTGATTTATTTTGGCCACTTGGGTGTAGCAGAACAAGCTGTAAACAAAACACTGACATATTGCCTGACATATTGTTCTTTAGCTAGTTGCTAACTTTGTCTTCCATTTGATGCTGGGCAGGAAGTGTAAAGTCAGATTGTTCTTTTTTAATACTAAACAGGTGTTGACAGGTGTGGTGAGATCAGTCAAATTGTGGTCTGTAAAAACAACAAGTAGCTAAAAGATGCTAAAACGCGCCATAGAGACTGAAAATTGCTAATAATTCTATGGGTTTTATACAGAAAATGAAATTAATTACATTTTCACCTACTCTTTCGTCTAAAAAAAAGTAAACTAAGAAGCATTGGAAAAACAAGTCTCCAAAAAGTATCACTGATTTATGATATTCTTGAGACATGATGCAGTTTAAACCAGCGGTGTTCAAATTATCCTCAAAGTTGACAGTTGGTAATTACCATCTAAATGATAAGTTAACAACACTGCTGCTTTACAAGTTTAAATGCTTTATGTTTGAATCTTTATTGTCAGCCACCAAAGTGACGAGATTCCTCTTTCATTTTCCTCTTTCTTCCCTTCTTTCCTATTAACCCAGCCTCTCTTTGAGACTCGTTCTCACCCTCTCTCTTCATGCTTCTTTTGATTTCTCTGTTGTACCTCATGAAAAGGGCTTTTTATACACTTTTCTCCTTTCAAGTTGCTTTTTTTTTAAAAATCCCTCTTCGCTGTGTGAGAAGAGGGATCCTGACTAAATGGGTCACAGAGGGGTCCCTGAACTTCTCGCTTGTAGTGAGAGAGAGAGAGAGAGAGATAGAGAAAGAAACCCTGGACTTGGCCCAAGCCTTAAATCACCCCAAATTTCCCCTCCAAACTCCTCTGCTCTCTCAGGATCTCTCCCTACTGTTCTTCCCCCTTCACTCCCTCCCTTTTCTTGAGCCCATTTGTGGATTCTCCTGCTGTGGATCCAGATGTGTTCATGTGTTCAACCAAAGAATGAATGTAAGAATTGGACTGTGTGTGTTTTGGGATTTGAGGCCCTTAAAGACGCGAGGGTGGAAGAAGAGCCAGAGCACCCCAAAATAAATCTAATCCTGATGTCCGCAGAGCCCAAATCATTTATCCTCCCAACTGCTTACATAACAGTATCAACACCTGAATCTGGCACGATGTCAATACTTCACTTCACCGCTCGTATGTGAATCTGCAAGTCTGTTGTTTACATAAATCTGTGATAAGTTCGGGGACCGCCTCGCAGTGAGCGAGCCCAGCTTAATGCATGTGAGAACAATTAAGATGCCCGCATGTCATTTGCGCAATGATCAGTGAAGAATTCAATGTCAAAACTTTTATCATGTGGTTGCAAAAACGCTGAGATCGGAAATGTTTTAATTCTCAAGTCATGTCGCTGTGGTTGAATCGACTCTATAAAAACGAGCTCCGATGGGAACGTGGGATTCGTGTGGGTGGGGATTTGTCTATATGCAAAGAATGTGAGGAAATACTTGTTTTTTGACAGTGTTAGGACGAAAAAATTACTTGCAAATCTGTCTAATCAGGACCATATTGTTGGCGGGGGGGGGCAACCACAGCATGACCCTGAGAATACCGTCAAGGCCAGATCTCCACTTTAATAAAAAATAAAAAGAAAGTGCTCACTTCTGGAGATATTTTCCGTAAGAATTGAAGTAGCTCCTGTCAGGAGCCTGCAGAAGTTTCTGGACACCCTCAGAACAAGGATTTATGATTTATATTTGCCTTATGAAACTGGTGAAATGATGCCAGTTGGTAACTGTGACCCTTGTTCCTCATTTGCGTACCTTCTTCATGTCTGTCCAACTGCAGTAATGGCAAATTATTCATTGTGCTTGGCAGAAATGGAAGAGTGGTGCTGAGCTGACCACATTACCACCATATTTGTCAAATTCCTCCAGCCTAGAAAAGTTCCATGTGTTTGAGGAAATTCATACACACAATAATTTCTGTTCTTAAAAGGAAGTATTTTTTTGAACCACTCAATTCCTGCTGTGTCACTGTTGATTTTACTGCACAAAAGAGCTCTTTTATTATTGGTATATTTATTTTCACACCTTCACTTGATACTGATTGTGATTTCTAGGTATGCACTAAAATTTGGTGCCAGTCTTCCTACTCGTATGGTTTACATAGACATCCACAGAGAGCGTTTTGAATCCAGCAGTAGTCTAATATCATCTTAATCAGCAGTTTCTACTTTTAAAAAAAATGGATGACCTCCATGATCAGCTCTGTCCTCTGCTCTCTGCAGGTCCTGGCATGCAGCGTCGGTTAACTTTGGCTCAGGTGGTCAATAGAGGCTCCGCGGCCAAGTCTGGCTTCAATGTGTCCATTCACGCGGCCATTCGATCCTCAAACTGGAAGCTGCTGACGGGCTACCCAGGTCAGTATCTCCTGTCACCCCTAATGATATGTTTAGTCTAAGTGGAAAGCTGAAAATCAAGCACGCTTATGCACAGTCACTTCTTATCTCTGCTAATCAGTGGTGGAAGAAGTGTTCAGATAAATATACTAAGTGAAAGTGCCAATATTTTAATGTAAAAAAAGTCCTGCATTTAAATTCCTGTTTAAGTAAAAGTACAGAGGTATTATCAGCAAAACATAATTACAGTATCAAAAGTAAAAGTTACATAGTAAAATGGCCCCTGTGACTGATATAATATTCTACATGACATTATTAAATTAATAATAACTTGTGAAATGATTAATGGCAGGGGAAAAAAGAAAAAGCAAGTTATTTAAATTAAACCATATGAGAAGTTTAGAGGGAAATGTCTGTTTGGTGCAACAGCTAACAACTCAGACATCTGAAACACGATAAGGAGCGGCAACTAGACACAGATGCATTTTTACATCATTATTCTCATTTTCAGTGAAAAACATATTTAAATGATTATGGTGTGGTTTTTTGCAAAGATCAGTACCAAACAAATACGTTTTCTTAAGTCAAAATATGTGTCGGCAAGTACATCTCTGCAACATAACAATATTTAATTTAACTGTGCAGTATAGTTATTATTATTAAAAACCACGTGCCGTTGTTTTATGATGAATGTTAATTGTTGAATGAATGCTGTTTTTTGTGGTATGTGGATGTGTGCAATACAGTTTCTTTTAAGCACCACCGGGAGGGGCACTCGCAATTTTGTTGTATACATTGTAGTATAATGACATTATGTCTTTTATCTATTTAATTTAAAGAGGTGGTATTATGCTCATTTCCTGGTTCAAAATCCTATTTAGGGGTTTTACCAGAACAGGTTTACATGGTTTAATTTTCAAAAACACCATATTTTTTGTCTCCTCTTTTCAGTAAATATACTCAGTTGCCTTCCACCACTGCTGCTGATGTCCTTCTTCTTATTTCCTCCAGGTTGTGACGTTTGGTTCCCCCGGCCCGGCCACAACAGCTCTGAGTCGAGCCCCTCGAAGGTGGATCCACTGAAGTCCGTAATGCTGTTTGACATAGAAAAAGATCCTGAGGAGAGGAATGAAGTATCTGCCGATTTCCCCAAAGTAGTGGAGTATCTCCTCAAAAGGCTCGAAAAACACCAGAAAACTGCTTTGCCAATAAACTTCCCCGCTGACGACCCCAGATGTGACCCGGGCCCCACTGGAGCCTGGGGACCCTGGGCTTAGACGGCAGTGACACTGATTAAGCTTTGTTCACCATGTTTGCTGTGAATTACAACAGCGGGAACCTCTTCTGTGGAGAAGAGACATTTGTTAACTCCATTATGATTAAAATGTTTTATATATAAAAAATAAGTGCCCTTATTATTGATGTCTGTGTCCCAGCTCGGAAAGGTTTTCAGAGGTTTAGTTAAAACAATTACCTAAAGCTGCACATGTTGCTGACTTGTAAAGACCATCTCCCTGCCGTTTCAGGTATTTGCATCTTATTTATCTATTGTTGGGAAGCTGCCGGCTTGGTTTACAATTGTCAAACACAAAGCTGTGCAGAAATAATGGGTTGTTTTCAACCTGAAAAAATCTTTTCAATAACTAAACTAGTACAGCTATTTTTTTAATGATTGTACAGGAGAGGGGACTGGCGACCTTTCCAGGTGAACCCTACCCCCACCCCTGGGACCCTGTATGCAGGATAAGCGGTTGACAATGAGTGAGTGTACTGGAGAGAGCAACATGTCAGATGTATTCAAGAGAGAGAGAGAGAGAGAGTAGATGCAAAAAGCTGCACTAATCAATACTTTTATATTGACAAGGGCTTGACAATGACTGCATATAATATGAAAGGAGTTATTTGTAGTGACAAACCCACAGAGAATTATCAATGGGTTTCCCATTTTTTAGCATCTTGCAGCTGTTTTTGTTGGTTTTATGTGTCTGTGTTGTTTACATCAGCAGCTGGAACCTGTTTTCAGCTCTTATAAAACCCACTGAGGGTTACCTACCCAGCACCAAGCAGCAGAGCTGGTGAACATAGTGGAACATGTAGCACATAAATAGCCAGATATTTCCCTCAGGAGCTGGTGAAGATCTGTAGCTCAAGCTTATCACAGTCCTGCCACAGATACTGGATTTTTAAATTTTTTTGTGTTTGAGCATTTCATTAGTGATTACTGTCAGGATGTGAAGAGAATAAAATTTTTATAAACTGTGCCATAACTCTAGTCTGCTGCTCAGTCTGTGGGAATTAGATTTGGGCATCCATTGGATCACAAAAAACACCTGTGAACCAGCTGCTGGATAACAGATGAAATTGTCCACTAAGGCAGTGGTTCTCAAACTTTTGTCTATCATGCTCCCATTCAGAAGCCAAAAGAAGTTCAAATGTGGATTTAAGTTTTATCGAGCATTGACAATACAGGTGATTGAAATAAACCAGAATTAGGTTAGCAAAATAGTCTTGCTAGCACCAGAGCACTTTTGTTTGTTTATGTCACCACATGAATCATATTCATACAACTTTAGGTCTGCTCAGCATCCACGACCCCCTTGAAGTGGCTCTGCGCCCCCCAATTTGAGAACTCAGATTTCTTCAAACGTACAAATTGCTGATGTTACACGGGGAGTCGGTGGAGACCAAAACGGAGCCAAAAGACTTGCATTCGCCAGGTTGCCAGAAACACGACTACAAATTAATAATAATGTTACTCCATATCTGCTGGATCTGTAAATCGGTTTGCTTATTATGTTTATTTATGATGTGATTAATATGTCTGTGTTGCATTTACAGTTTGTTACATTGCACCCAAATGGCCAAATAATTAATTATTACAGGTTTAAAATATGTTTTTAAAATGACATGCTTTATATTAAGTGTGCTCTACTTCATTTTAACTGTGCACACCAATATTTGTAAGTGCCTACTGGTTTATATGTTTTGTTCTGGAAAAACAAAACAAATCGCAATAAAGAGGCTAAAGTGTTGAAAGTGAAAGTATTTGTAAAACTGGATTCTCGAAGCAGTTTGTCAAATATTTTTTAGGTTCCCTTTTCAGTTGCATTTAAAATGACCAAGTAGGTGCTAAATGGGTTCGCAGTGTATTTCTGTTTTAGAGGTTGAAAATGTGAGGAATGTCTTGTGCGCTTCAGGAATCCTTTATGCGGGGCGGCTGTGGCTCAGGGGATAGAGCAGGTTGCCTGTTAATCAAAAGATCGGTTCAATCCCCGGCTCCTCCAGGCTGCATGTCGAAGTGTCCTTGGGTAAGATACTGAACCCCAAGTTGCCCCTGGTGGCTGTTCCACCAGTGCATGAATTTGTGTGAATGATGAATGCGATATATAGTGTAAAAACGCTCTGAGCGGTCGAAAAGACGACTATACAAATACGGAGCATTTACATTTACTTTATATCTTGGCTTCACAATAACTGAACACTGAAAAGAGTTATGGTGGGATGATCTTCTGGATTTTGCTGTGGAAAATGATATTGTGCCACGTATTTGACCAGTTGAAGTCACCACATAACAGAAAACAAACAACCAAAGGTTAAAATTCTGATACTTCCAAATGGATAATTAGCATATTTGGAATCTTAGTGGGAGAAACAAATTTCCTTAAAATATACACCCTTTTGACCTTTAACCCCTTGGTGTTTGACCCCCCGCTGTCAGCAGCATGCAGACTACCACAGGAAATGCTCCCTGCAGAGAGTGGGCGGGCCTGTCCTAATGTGGGCTGTGACCCTTAACCTGCCATGTGAATTGATTGGCGGCTGAGCAAGGCAAACAACAATACAGGTTATTGTGGAAAACAGTGGAGCTGTAGAGCCATTTGATATTGGCAGGATAGTTATGTCGCTGACTCTTGTTTGACCTTAAAATCAAAGTTGTGCTGTTGATTTCATGCTGTAGTTTGCTTTCAGCTCTCTTTTTCAGTATGACATGAAATAAATGGTAAATGGCTTTAAGCGAGCTAGATATGCGTCCAGTATAGGAATAGATTTTAGAAAGTTTCTTTTCTTGCTGAGAGTTAGATGAGGAGATTTATACCACTGTCATGTCTGTTTGCTAAAATATGAAGCTACAGCCAGGAGATCGTTAGCTTAGCTTAGCAAAGGAAACGGCCTGCTAGCCTGGGTCGGAGGTAAAAAAAGATGATGCCTACAAGCAACACTATGCTCAGTTATTATCACGTTGTGTTTTCTTTGTTTAATCTGTGCAAAAAAGTGTAAATGCAACAAAAACATTCACTCCATGTTGAGATAGCCCAACACATAACTCCTGTTAAACCACAGCCTGTTTTGTTTTTTTTGGTACAGATTAAACAAAAAAATATATTATGTTCATTAGTGGGCTTTATTGGTGCTGGTAGGCAGATTTTCTTACCTTTAGACAGAGATTTCTCTTTATACTGTCTATGTTTCTCATCCTGAAAGTCTTGACAGCCACTGAACAAACTCCATCCAAAAAGCGAGCAAGTGACCTTTAAATTGGGTTTTGTTTTTGTCAATCTACTGTTTCCGAGGCCCAGAATGAGCTTTGCTGCTTTATTAATAAGTGGCTTTTGGGATTTAGTATTTCACTGAATTATTTATTGAGTAACAGTCAGCCCATATGGCCTGCTCAAAGCAACTGTGCGACGCCACACACATGATTAAAATTTTATAACCTGAACCATGTTTTGAGCTTTGTAAGAGTAAGTAGTTTCTAATTTTGAGAAAGTGACCGTATGAACTCAAGTGTATATGTTGTTTTTATACCAAAGTAGCTGTTAAATGGAATTTAAACTGGGATTTTTGGTAATGGACGACCACCACAATACCACATGATTATTTAGTTTCTGAGAAAGCACTTCTTACATTTCTGAGGCTGTGAATTTGTCGCTTGTTCTGTTAGTTTACTCTACAATCAAAACTCTGCATTTCAGGATGATGGGATAGTTCATTTAATTAGATGGTGCCACTGCTTGCCATTCATTTAAAACGAGGCGTGCAAGTTTCTCAGCTCGGCTGCAGACCACTTTTGCACTTCTCATACCCTGTTTGTGGTGAACTACCCTTCCTGACAAGTTATTCCACCACTCCCCACGCCCCACCCCTTGTCATTATGAGCAGCCAAACTCAGCTGTGTCACAACTCGTCTCCTCATACTTTTCAAAGTGGTTTTGGTGTGTCTTTCACACTTAATCCGGCACTTTGACTCGGCCCTGTGAAGTCAGCCTCACAGAGTGACAAACACACTCTGGCTAAGATTTGCCTCTGCTGAATCAACACTGTGATTCGCCGGCTCTTGACGTCGTCCCGAACCTTTACGTTTTGTTTTTTCAGCTGTGACAGCTATGTGTGCCATCAGAGCGGCCCCCTGAAAGATATGACAGTGCAAAGATGTGATAGCCAGCGTGAGGCTCAGATGTTTTGATGGTGAGCACATGTGGGACAGAAAAAGCAAAGACGGCTGCCACCCTTGATGCCCCTCTGGTATGTCCACAAGGAGACACTGAAGGTCTCACAGTGAAGTGGGACTGGAATTCCAAACAAGATTGTGTATGCCTGCCTGTGAAAACAGATTAAAATCATACTGACCAGTGCAGCAAGGAATGTGTTGAACCTTGAGCCTCGAAGGGGGGAAATCCGACAGCTCATCACACCTAACAAAAAAACAAAAAATCCCCAACGGTCCCCTCACAGTGTCGGCAGACCACCACAGAGCAGGAACATTCAAGCAGTCTTTATTGTTTCTCTCTCATGAATCACATAAGAATGTACATCTTATCTCACGTGTTCCTAAAGCATATAATCACTTTTTTAAGATTAATTACAGACAGCTTTAGAAGATAAGAAGTCAATTCCTCCTGGGTTTATAGTTATGATAAAGGGTCTTTGGCAGAGCATGTTTACAGTATACTTCCATTATCTTATTCTCAAACAGAGATTGAAAACAGTAACCCTTTAGATTAAATGTTGTAGTTATGGAATACCAATGAAATACTTAACTGGTAACTACAAGGGAAGAAGTACAGGGAATAAGTGTTTAGGTGGGACGTAGGAATAAATTACACTGTAAATACATATTGAATAATTACACGGTACCAATAGGCTTAGACTTAATGTCCTTTCACAATAACTATTCCATGAAAAGGAGCCAAATGACATGTGGCACTTTCACTCAGTAATAAAACAAGATGAAGACTGAACACCCACGCCGGCTGCTCTACAAGGCTGCACACACAGTGGTGCTTTGAGCTAAATTCTAACACAGCGTAGGTTAACAGCACAAACAATAGCTAAGGATGATGGGAATTATTAGCTTTGTAGGTATTCGGTCATTAACCAAAGTATTGGACAAATGCAAGTTTGATGTCTTGATGATGGCACTAGTTGAAAAGTCACAAATCACAAAGTGATTGCAATTCATCTCGAGGGGAGAAAAAGAAAATCTCTGCCAAACTTCAGGAAAAAGTTGAGACATTTCGCTTAACTTTAAACCTCTTGTGGCACCAAAGGAAAAGTCATGGGATCACCAAAGTCATCTCGGCACAGTGGACTTCTGCAATCAATTTTATTCTGAATTCATCCTGGAGACTCTACATTAAGCTACTGTTCTGCAGTATTTTATCATCAGTGTAATTTTCCTTTATATGGCACAGTTTTACATGACACAATAACATATTTCATTGCAATATCGGCAGTGTTGCCCAATTCCCCTCAGTGTCCATGTCTTCTTAGCCACTAAGTTCTTTATTACGGCCCCATGCGGAGTGAATTACTGCACTGTAATTTGTGGGCTGTAATCTAAATCAAAGCTAAATCTTGAGTGCAAAATCTAAACAGAAACAAAAGGATTTCATGCAGGATTTTGAACCAGTGAGAGTTTCAGGTCCATTCAGATCTCAGATAGGGAAATTAACCTTGTTGCTCAAACTGCATTTATAGGAGAATGTGGTCATGTATTATGAGTTTAATAAGTGTAATATTGTTCTTTCACTCTGCCCGTCAAACCGAAGGTCAGTTTCAGTCACAACGATCCCAGGAACTGGATGGATAACATCAGGGCTGTTATTATTGACAATAATTGCACAGTTGTTTAGCCAGAAACTCCCAGACCAAGTCATGAGACTTCCCTTGTGTTTTCACTCCATTCAAGTCTCATTTGACTGACCGAGGAGCTCAAATAAGAGGGCACCGAGGTCCTGGCACCAGTTGTTCCCCTCCTAGTCACAAC